TTTAGCAACCTTGCCATTGGCTCAGGCAACATATTGCCATTTTCAAATTGCATTTTCCCAGGTCCCATCAGCCAAAATTGTTTTTTAGTTTCTCTACCCTCATCAAAATGTAAAAATTGGTCAAATTTTTTGAAAGGATTTGAAACGCTTACTTTCTGGGCATCAAATTTGATATCAAATATCAAATCATGGTATCTGAGCTTCAAGTTGAAAAGAAAGCTGGTTTTAAAAGTTATCTCAAGTTGGGCAGGTAAAAAGAATTATGACTTCCCCAAATCCTGCTGTTTGTCAAAATGAAAGTCAAATAAAACAAGGTCAAGGAAAATGGCCACATTTTCCCTTTTGTTTGAAACTTGTACTGAAGTGATTGTTCTGCTTAGTGCAAGCTGTTTGATTTGGTAGAGTTCTAATATATTTTTCAATCCTATAGAAAAATCATGATCATGTGTTAATATACAATTCATTATATTGGGCCAAATTCAGGTATACTTGTTGACTTCGATGGGACTATGCAGTTTTTTAAAGTAAGAAAAAACTGACTGACTCTATTAATTCCTTGTAGTTTATTGAAGCTGAGCCACATCTTCTCTACAGCAATGCTAATTGTACCTCTGTGTTGCCTTTTTCATCCCAAATGCTTAAAAAGTAGGGATCACAACTTAAACAAAACTCCTAATTGTTTCCAACTTTTTGTGGATAAGCGCTGCAGAATTTGTTATTATCTGAATCCTCAAGACCCTATACTATAGTTGATTGTATGGTGAAGAGTTTTACCTTCCTCGGGGGCAAATTTGTGCTGCCGCCAAATGTCATACCAGCATCCACACTGAACCTTGGGTTCACATACTTCGGTACATCTGCCCTTTAGAGAAGCATATGGAACCCACTGCCTCTCTGTTGAGAAGATGAGAAAGTAAATCAGCTCTTCTGGGATTTGAACCTGTGTCTCCAAGTTCAGCTATTTTGCATCTGATGCTAAAGCTACTGATATGGCCAATGGTCAAAGCTTTTTTTGCTAAAAATGGATCTGACTGGTTCTGTTTCCTTTTTGCCATCATCCTAGCAGAGATTTGAAAAGGCAGCCACCAGGTTCTGCAAGATTTGGGAGGGCTCATCATCTGGTGTTGAAATACGGACTCCACACGCTACAGCTTTCTTTTCAGGATGTCACTCTCCCGCCTCCACACTCACCACCAAACAAACATAGAAATCTACTACTGTTCTCCCCGTGCACTCCATTTTCTTCCAATCTGAGAGCCATTTGTGTGTATAATTGAAAATTAGCAGTGCAGCTGTTTGAAGAGAGTAATTTATCACAGCACATTGTTCGCTCCTGACACTTTAGACCTGGCTCTAACAAGGCAGTGGTTGCTGGGGGTTGAGCTGCAGAAAGTGATTCGGCTGTAATGCCGCGTTTCCCCTGCTTTGTTGCTAATTGTAGCCTCTTTTTCTCCATTGAATTGGGAGTTGAGTAAAAGAGCTTGTTTGCTCTGTGCGACGAGGCTGCCAGGGCCGCTTGGGCTATTATCACAAGATACTCTTGATCTTTTGAAAAGCAGGAAATAGAATTTTTCTCCAACAGGGAAAGTAATTTGCGATGCGTCCATTAGTTCTTCATTAAAGCAAGATTAAATTGCACGGCAAATCACATCTGTGTTTGGATGATTAAAGGGTGGCATTTTAGAGGCCAAAACTAATTACTAGCCAAAATGAATGGGAGTGAAAAAACAGTCATGTTTTTACATTAGATAGTGTGGCTTGTAATTAGATTCAAGCTAATTCCACTATTTCTTCTCATTTAATGAGATGAGCCTGTCCTCATCTTTTTCTAGGCCATGCTAACAGCCCCAAATGTATAATTTTGATAATACTGAGAGTTTACTTTATTGAAATTTCTTAGCTACCTGCCACAAGTGACTGTTCTGTCTAGTGGTGCTTCATTATACATCAACACAAGCTACTGTGCATGGCTGTAGCGAGCATCTCAAGCAGTCTCTGTGCATTTATGTGTACGTATATATGCATAAGCATAAATATGTGTGTCCGTCTATTTACACAGATACATAGGTATAATGCCCATGACACATGTATAAATGTATAATGTTAAACAAATTAAGGAATGCTTTAAAGAGTATTGAAAGACAGTAAGATAGGTCTTTGCATATCTGGGAAGTACAGATCTCCATGGAAAATTCCTTTAATTGAGGAGATTTGGAAAAAACTGTTCTTCGGGCATGAGAAGAATGAGGTAAATAGTTGCATCAAGTGGTGAGTCGTTGAAGTAACACAGATATTTATTGCGTTTTTAAAAATGAGGTTCGTTTAGTTGTCGTTATAACAATAACTCAGTAGAAGCTTGAAACTGAAAGCTGATTCCAAATGACTGAGTAATATAATAATTCATTAACTTTAGGATCTCTTACATTCCTAGGATCAGAAGTTCTTATTTCTCATAAACAGACGCTGCCAATAATGTGGTGCTTGGGTTCCTATATTGAGAGTGAAACGAGAGTGAAGGGCTCCAAACTGAATGAATATGTGGCCCAGAGAATAGGTGCTGTCCGTGACTTCTACTCTGTGGAGAACGTGTGGAAAACGATAGAAGGGAGGTATGTTGCCTGTTCCATAGAATGGCATTGCAGTTACTCCCTGAGACAGACAGATATGGCCAGGTATCTACGGGCAGACCTCCAATGATGCATCCTACTGGGTGGTGGAGGGTGATAGCTGGAGCAGAGCAGAGCAGAAAGAAATGTAGTGCAGACATTACTCTAGAGAGATAACTCTGATCCTCCAACTTCCGGAGAGATTGTTAGAATTTGAGCGTAAACCTGTAGCTAGTTTTTCAAGATTGGGATACTTCTCACTTTTGTGCCCCCAACTCTATACTCAATAGAACGTTCGGGGAAAAAGTTTGAGGAGATAAGGTCCTGGGAGATACATATAGAAAAAGTAAACAAAAAAGCATGCCAGAAATTTTGCAGTCATGAAGAAAGACACCTTGAAGAATTTACAGTTTAAAGGGCTGATCTGCAAAGGTTTACCCTTATTGGCTGTTGATTTGCTATTGTGAACTTACCATTGGCATCTTAATACCTTTAATGTGGGTGTGTAAACAGGCAATTGTATGCACTCTAGTACCTTCTTTTGTGCAGGCATTTGATGAGTAAGTGGAGTGTACATTTCCTCCCTCTTCTGAGCTCCCAAGTGTATTTTACAGGTCACCAAACACATTCTAAGGGGAATTTGCCCTTGTCTGTATTTGCCCCCTTCTTACTATTTCCCTAAACGTTTGCTGCTGGCTGCTGTCAGGATGCGAAATTGCAGAAGAAGAGACCTTTGATCCAGTCCAGGATGGCCATTTTTACAAATTAATTCATAATGTATACGTGTAGATAGAGCTGTATTTTCATAGCACAAATTCTCATTTGAGCAATATCAAACAGTTCCCACTACCTGCAAAATTCTCTTCATCTTCAGTAATTTATCTGGACGTTTTTCACTGCCTTTTCTTTAGATCGCTTACTGTCTACTCTGAAACCTGGGACAGCCAAAATTATGGTCTATTTGTCTGTTCCTTGCTGTCTGTGAAAAGATCATTGGTTTACATTCAGTAGAGATTTCTGTCTAAGGCTTGATACTGGACTATACCAGCCATGAAACTGCCCCCAGCAGAATACCATAACCATACCATCCAAGCTCACTTCTGATGAATTTTTAGAGATTTGGGGCTTCTTCTGGAGAAGCAACAACGTATTCCGTGATTGCCAGTTTCGTCTAAATTAACTCTTAACATGATTCAAACTTTATGGTGAAAATAATGCAGTCAGATCTAGCGAAGCAAAAAGTAAGGATCTGAACTGCAAAATTGAAAAGACAGTTACAAGAAAGAAAAGAGAAATCCCCCTTGATCATAGAGTCCTTTCCTTCTTCTCATTTAGGAAGTTTCAGGCGTAACAGCCATAGCAGTTGAGGGCCTGACTTTATAGTATTTTGCCCCCTAAAAGCTACTGTTGAGAGGTTGCTTGCAGTTGCTTCCTTGAGCTGCTGCTTGTTGCTTTGTCTCATAGAATTTCTAACCTAAATTTCATTTCTTCTTTTTAAACTTTCCTTCATGTTTTTTTTAGCTAATAAGAATGTGATTTTAGTGACTCAATTCTCTGCTATGTATTGTCTGTATTATCTCTAGAGATAGGTTTTGGACTAATGGACATGAACCTCGCTACCTGGTTTTAAGGATTAGGTAGTGTCCATGTGGTAAACAGGCATTGGGCAGTGAAAATCTGTCACAATATTTCAAAGTTATAGCACTAATTTATTAAGTGTACAACATAAGTAATGCTCGCTCTAAATACGTCTTATCAAACTCATTATTTCTTTGCAGTGAGCCACATATTATATTAATGAAACAGATAAAAAGGTTAGCATTTGAGTATTTTGTCTAAACCACTTTTTCCTACCCTTTTCCAGTTTTAGGGACTCATGCCATTGCACCTGCATTTGAATGCTCCTAATTACAGGGAACCTTACGTGCTAAAACAATAAGAGAAAAGTGTCCATTTATCATTGCTCGTAGCTAGAAGAACGATGACTGACATTCCCGCAGATACTCTGGCAAGCTGAAAGGCCTCTTACAGCTAATGGGAGGGGTTAAGAATTCATCTGAAGACAGAAGGTTCCTAGTTTGTTCCAAAGACATTTTGTATTTTCTAAACTTGGAGTTGCAGATTTCAAAACTTTTTTAAGCTCTCTTCTGTCCTTGAAAGCTTCCTACAATAATGGAACCAAGGTCGGTGATAAAAAGCTTTGATTTCTGCTTCACGACCACTTAAATGGCCTGTATTTTCAGCTTCCATCCTGTTATTTTCTCAGCAATATACTTAAAAATGGAAGATCTGAGAATTCTGGAGAAGTTAGTTTTACCTGTGGTAGTGGCTCCCAGAGAATTTTTTACTGGCTATCACCAGCAGCTGATGTACATTTTGTTTGATCATTTCCAGAATTCCCGTGACTGGTGTATTAAAATGGCAGCCTTCCAGACGAGTAACAAGCATTGCCACACTCTGCCATCTTTCTAGATGAATAGTAAGCAATAAGTTTTGGACATTTTTTAAATTTTTCTTTAATACGATTAAAAACACAGTCTTTACATTTGAAGACCTTACAATCTAAGAAAGATTTGAGAGAAACAGATTACATTTAGCATGCAAAGAATTGAAAGTGAAATTTGTGTAAGGCTGTTAAATGACTAGATTTTTCAAAGGATTATCAACTCATTCAAACGATTTATCACACCTCTGATGGGAGGAGATAACCAACGGCTGAGGAACGTGGCTTCTTAATCCTCTTGAACTAATATAATAAATATTGGTGTGATTGTGCATAGAGTGTGGCTAGAAAGTTTGGTCATAGCTAGGGAAATACTGGGGGAAGAGTGAGTTGTGAGGAAAAATTTGTTAGAGGATGGTTTTATGGCATGCAGCAGAAGGAAAGGTTTTCTAGGCAAAGATACTGTGAAGGTAGGAAGAAGGTAGAATAGCTTATGAGGAAAGCCGCTTTAGCAAGATAAGAGACAATATTTAACTACTGGAAGCAACAAGGAGAAGCCAGCATCATCTGACCATCCAGGTAATGCTTGCTTTCACTGGTATTATCAGAAGTGAAATCTGAGGAATAAAATTTCATTTGACACAGAATAATTTATCTAAGTCATGATCTTGGCATTTGGTAGATACGCTATAATTAAAAAAGTTGATCAGCTCTTCCACTACCAAATTCTGCTCTACGACAAGTAATATTCAGGTCGCACTTGCCCTTTGAAGTTTTAATGGCCACTACAATTTTATGTTAGTCACTCACTTATGTTTGATGTAAGCGTGCAAAGCCTGAGCTGTCTCCATTTGTCTCTAACTACTTTAGAAGCTTCAGAAGGCATTGAGCTCATAAAACTGCACGCTTCAAAGAGCTTATTCAGAGATTCCGTTCTGCTGCTGCCATTTATCAAAGGGGCACTTTTAAAATATATATGTCTTTATAATAAGATGTTTTTTAAAATATAAACCTGACAGTGGGGATGATTGAAACAAAATCTCCATTGGCTTCAGGGACAGCAGAACTGAGTTCCATAGTTTTAAAGCTAACATTTATATTTCTACAAAAGCGTTATCTTCAAGTATCTTCCTGATATAAGGAAGTACAATTCAAATTTTCCCTCTTAATTTTTTTTCTGTATCCTAATTTTACGGAAATTCAATTTGACTTTAACCCGGACCTTTAAATGAAGTTTTAAATTTAATACCATAATACAGAAAATGATTCTCTTCTAAAAAAAAAAAAAAAAAAATAGAAACTCACTGTCTTATTTAAGTTGAATTTGTCCCGTTGGACAGACACAAACCTGAAAAGCTGATGGAATGTTAAATCTATATTGTAACTTGTCCTATGAAACATAGGACAGGAATTATATAATTTATAATTCCCATGATAGGTCTTTCATAGCTCTAGTAAGCGATGCTGGATAAATCACATGGCATTGACGTATTTTATATCCCCTTTGAACAGGAATGATAATAAGTACCTAAATCATATTCGTAGTGGCACGCTTTTTTGTCTAGTCCAGTTCCCAAAAAAGCAGTGGCAGACTTTCCGTTGACTATACTATATATTAGATCAGCCCTTTAAGTCGTCATTTTAACTTCTGTAAAGAATCATGGCCTCAGAGGAAAGTGGTAGTGGATGTCTAAGAAATTGATACAATATTAACTAACAATTATTTTACCAAGGTGTATTTATAGTTATAAAGTGATACAACTCCTTCCTGTACCCCAACAGCTTTGTTGCTGCTTTTGTTTGCTCCAATACTGGACATCATAACATCACAATTGGTTGCCATGGAAATGGCTGTGATGTTGCAAATTCAGCTTTTTGTCTTCACAGTGAAATTAGAAAAAAAGAGATGGGCACTAGGGAAAAAGCCCTTGTTTAAGGACAAAAGGGCAGTTCTAGTCCAAATGCAGGGCCTAAAATCTAGACTACTCCCTTTGACTTCAGTGAGATAACTCCCCAAATAAATACCTTTGAAGTTATTACTTGAAGTTACTACTTTTCTGTTCTTACTTACCTGGCTGACCTAGCAAGCTAGTTCCTTTGCGGGTGGAAAGCCCCATCACGTCAGCTTGAACACTGCTCAGCAGAGTGGCCCGATTAAGTTCTCTGGATCTTACAATAGCACAACTAAATAATGATACTATCAGGATAATGATTTTGTAAACATAGCTAGTAACATTGGAAAGTGCCATCCAAACACAGGACTTCAATGAATTTTTTGCTTTTTCGCTGCTGTATTTAATCTACCACCTCAAGCATTTAAGAGCCTGCATTTGGGGCATATTCTGTTGATTCACAGTTTGACTGCATCGAGGAGTTGGCTTGCATGCGCATTCAAGAGTAATTATTTCACCTTTGCTGTTCTGGAGTCATCCCTCCATGTAAATACTTTCTTTCTGATTATAAGTTACTTTATTCTGAAATAATTACTCTGCTTTGGAAAACAATAATTCTTCTGAACTAAATTTATTATTATTTTAGAACAAAATTCTCTACAACAGAAAATCTTCTGGAATAGCTAAATTACAGATATCTGATAGATCCTCCCCAAAGACAAAACGTCAGTGTCTGGACTTTTTAAACAAGTACCTACCTGAGGTGGCTCTGTGACTTTATTAATAGAGGAAGAAATTAGAGGATTGCGCTGAATCTACCAGCCATTGTTCTTTAGGTGCTAGCAATCATTTCATTGGCTTTCCAAACTGTTATTCTGAATTCCTGGCTATTCCTGAAATGCGTAGTACCGCTTGGAAAAGCATGAGTCTCTTAATGGCGACCTTTGGAGGTGCAGTTGCCAATCGATAACAATTAGCATTGGTGCTATGTGATAAATAAATACATACTTTTCATGGCTCTGTACTTCTGTTCTGAAACAGAGTATATTATAGGCTTGCTGGGAGCCTTGTACAAAATTTTATTTTCATCTTAGCAGAACCATTTAGGGAAGCCAACATGATGGTACCGTGCTATGCCCAGTGTTACAGACTAGACTTGTGTTTAAATTAAAGAATTTACCTTTGCCTGGAGATGGAGCTGACTGATCATGTTTTGCTGACTAGACAAAACCTAATTGTGTAAGCCTTAAAGACATATCTCTGAAATAATTTTGATAGACCACTGGAACTGTGTGCTATTTTGACACTAGGCTTTCTTTTTTAACCTCAACATAATTGGAATTTTGGGACACAGAATTGGGAGGAGTCCTTTGATTCACTAAGTCCAGTCCTCCACAGTTGCAGGTAACCATTGATAGAATTCACAGAATCCCCACTGATACAATGGACAAAGCAAAACACACAGCAAGACCCCAAAGAGTAAAATTGAGACATTTAGTTCAAAATCCAAAGCTTGGAATTTTGCATTAAACCAGGAAAGACTTGACTTTGGGGACTGGTGGTTTCTTTAGAAGCTAATGTGGATACTCAAAAAGCCCCCTATATTGCATGCTTTAAAACTTTGCTCTTCTAAAAGACAACCCCAGCAGGAAATAACAAAGAAGTGCAATTCTGATAAAATCTGGGGTACAGACTGTGTCTAGTTAATTTTAATGAAACGTATTAGGTGGTATATTTATGATATATTGATTGTAGAATTAGATTGACAAATAGGATAGTTTTTAAAGTGGGACTTAGCTACTAAAATTTCCTCACATCTCATATGCTCCATGTAATTGCCACCTAATGTCGGAAACGTCTATATTCCATAGCTGTCCACACTTTAAAGATCCCTATAGTGCCCAAATTTCTACCTGAAATTCAGCCCATACATTATGCTGAATCACAAGTAAGACAAGTGGAGCACAAGGGCAGTCATTCCTGATTCCTCTTGTTGAGGCTGTTGCTGTTCATGTAAAAGCTTTAGACACTTACTGAACCACAGAGAGGAAGGATAATTGTGATTCTGGAGTTCAGTGGTTACATTTCCACCCCTCACATCCAGGACTCTCTCTCAATAGTCAGTCACTGGATAATAAAGTACTGCAGTAATCTCTTGTTGGAATGGGGTTTCGAACGCTTTTTTTTTTACTTTAGAGCAGCTTATCATAGATTTTAAAGAGAATATGTTTCCAGAATCCTTTGATCAACAATATTACTTGGCAAAAATACTTTTTCTTTTTAGTATGCTGTTGGATAAGGTCATTGATCAGTATGTTTCAGACCTAGATAATGAATCTACATAATGTGAGGTTGATCAGACCAACTATTTGTTGCACAATGAATAAATTGGTCAAAGCAAAATTATTGCAGGAAATTGGCTTGATTTTATAAAGAATATTTTGAGAGATACTGAAAAAGTATTCTTTCCAACTGATACTGTTAGCAAGCAGTTAGACTTGAACTGCTTTCATTAGAAATACATCCCTTGGCGTAACTACAGAAAACAGAATTAGATAAACATGCAGAAGGAAGGGCAAATTTTTTTTTCCAAATTTTCTCTTCAGCCTTAACCATGTCCCGGTAATTTAGATTCATCAAAATGCCATGACCTGAATCTTTTGGGTTCTAGAAGAGGAATAAGTAGTCACCTCTGGTCTGCTTATCTGAAATAAAAATACTCAGTCCCATACTTTGAGAGACAGACTATATAACAGGGACCAAATGTCAGAAAAGGATGAACTAAACTAGCTACGTAGAGGATGTATTCACTGGAAAATTCATCCGGGCCCCAAAGGAAGGGACAATTGCACAAAATAAAACCAGCCTATAATAAGGACGATTACAGGTTAGGGTACCTGGGCAAGGAGCAGTTGCATGTTCCACTCAACCTGCAGCTTGAGAAGAGTATGATATGTTATGGGAAGACTGGTGAGGAAGATCTTACGGAAGTTATAGAAATAAATTCTTGATTATTTGTTAAGTCTAACAAAGCACAAAACACCCTCAGTTGACCGAAGCTTATACGTGATGAATCTTTCTGCTAGATGATCACCCAGTCTTGTGATCAGTTCGCATT